TTTGGCTAGTAAATTGTGTCTGATCTATCCATTTTCATTTATTACGATATTAATGATGTTTTACAGAGATATTTCTATAATAATAAAATTACAAAACTGATAGTATGCCATGAAAATAAAATTCAGCAATTTTCCTACAATCGTTGTGAAATAATTTTGATCCACACCAGCATTTTGCTCATTGTGATGTAAAATCACTCGTTTATGTTGATTTATAAATGTTCTAATCGATAAGTCACCGTACAACTATAATGGTTTTCTAGCAACTGGCTAAAGTCGTATCTGAATATAGCATGAAATAAAAAATTTTTTTAAAATAAAAGTAAAAGTTTTAAATGTTTTTCTCTATTCTTTCTTAATTTCTTTAATTTATTTGTCCGTTATCAAATAAGTCATTGCAGCCATCACAAGTAGGATTGCCTTCTCTGTCATCCAATTCACATTTACAATCAATGCCAGTAGTAGTAACTACTACAAATACAACATTGAATAGCAATTCTCAATCAATGTTGATGGTAACAGGTAATCAGAAATCTAATATTGGATGGAAATATACGAAATCAAATCAAATGGCTGTGACATCAGTAAACAATAACAATTCCATTTCATATTTCCCTAATCCAGATAATAATAACAGCAGTAATAACAATAGCAATAATAATAACAGTAATAATAATAATAATAATAATAACAACTCATCAAATATAGACAATGTACACAATCCTAACGATGGAAACATTACACACAATACACTTCAATCAAATTTAACTGGACTACATCTACCAAATATATAAGAAAGCGTCCTTTCTTGTCTCCCCTTCCCATTTGATCTCTTTCAAATATAATACAAAAGGCCTAGTGTAAATGTGTTACATATTTAATAGTAGTAATAACAATGACTGAATCAATTAGTGACTTGTTTCAAAAGTAGAATAATTATACAAGCATTACATATATTGATGATAATAATAAATGAAGTATTTCAGTAAACTTAATCACCGAAATTTTCATTTAATTTTTTCTCCCTTTTCTATCTTATCTTATAATCAGAACAGTAATAAAATATCATTCTTCGTATTGTGTTTACATTCAAACAAATTGTACATAAACTTAGATAAACCGTTTAAATAAAATACTAATTATCTATAATTATTAAAATATTTTTCATACATATTATATTTGTTTTATTAATCATGATTACTTTTTTTAGAGATTATACTGATGAACTGATAGGAATTTACACAATTGTCGGCGACGTAATTGAAAAAGGGCAACGACTTGTTTAGGTGGTTAGAGGTAGTCGGCAATGGATTCGGGAGAATAACATACACAATTTCAAAGCACTTAGGTTAATCTTCATACTATACAACTAACTACTGATCGACAGAATTCGATATAAACTAATGATTTTAAACAGACATCATACTTTTATGTAGGCAAAGATCACACAATTAAATACACGGATCATTCGTTCTATTGTATTATTCAGGTTAACACTACATAAAAGAGCATATTCTTCATTAAGGAATTCAGTTCAAGTCATAACTCCCACTTTATTTACTTTAATTATCCGTCTAGACAAGATGTACTAAAGCGGTGTTTCATTAAAACATACGTGCAAATAGTTTTAGTTCACTAAAATGAAGTACTTAGTGAAAGTTACACTCCAATACGCAATAATGACACACTAAATAGACGGAGGAATGCTCTAAAATGCTAGGTATTGCACCTCTACCACACGGCAGAAAAAGATTATTATCCTCATATATTTCATATACTATAAAGTGTATAAACGATTAATTACGAACAATTTTTGGTAAAGTTATCAGTAAAATCATCTACGATGATGCATTGTATTTCGGAAGTCTGGTAATTTTAAGATTACTACATCTACAAAAGATAGGTACTTTACGCTGTGTACTATAAATTCATCAGTTCATGTGCGTACACTACACTGATTTGTTTTTAATGTAGTAGATCATAGTACAACTGAAATTCGATGATAAAAGTACATAATCCTTTTCTCACAAAAATGATAAAGGCTTAGATAATGGAATGTAAACTAAAGTTCAACACAAGCCCAAACGACGTTGCAGTTAATCAGTTGGGAAAGAGATCTTCTCTACATACCTGTTCCACAGCTTGGCTAAACGCGTCGCATAATTTCATTAGATTATAGAGTATCTCGATAGTACAACAAACCGAAATTACTGAAGTTTTCTCATTCACCTAGTAGCCTTATCATTGTCTTATGTACTAGCCGTACATGCTGTATAGATAGATGTAGATTCGAGTCACAAAAACGGATTAATCAGACGTAATTTGCAGTTTTTAACCTAAGTTTGGAGCTTCTAAAATAACACTGTGTAGCTGTAACACCCTGCGATACCCAGTATCTTACACGAACACAACCAATAGTGAACTTACTGCAGATAGGCTGGAGAGGAGGCATTACTCCCCTTGTTCTATGGGCTTTATTATACATTAAAAACTATTTTATTGGCTATCACCATTGAACTGCAAACTCAAGGATACAGCTTTATTCGATTGTCGATGATTTAATGTTTTCATCACAGACATAGGTTTCGTTAAGAACTTAAACGGATGTTCATCATTATTCAATGGTAGATCACGGGTGAGTTTCAGTTCCTTTTTGAGAATGCCTTCAGCGTAAATAATTTCAGCTTTACGAAATAAGCACTGAACTAAATTTCGCTTATGCTGCGGTCGAATAAATCCAAAAATAATGCGTATATTAGCTTAGTAGATTCAGGCTATAAATAATGTTCTTTTCTATTGTTGCATAAGGTTCTCGTGTTAAGAAGACATCTAGAAAAGAATATACACGAAATTTTCTTACTTTGAGAGGGTATTTTTTTTTTACAACACCTCCAAAACAACAGTGAACTCTGCCCAATCAAGCTTGTGTTTACACACTCACTCATATACAAAACTTGCAAAGGATTAGAAGAATGCTATTTTGATCACAATTTCTCAATTAGTCATTATATTGTTTGTTTTTATGTAAAAGAACTAAAGTTTATTCAAAGAAAGACTGAGTATGTGATTAAAGCGATCAAAGTGTGAACAACACAAATAGCGTATAATTTTAAATATATCAACAACAACAAAAAGAAGAAAATAACATAAAAAAATTTAATGAAATAAAATTGTATTCGCTAAACGTAACATCCATACAAGATAAGGCAATGGAATATGATCACAACCTTGAAATCGAATTTGTTTATTATCCATAACAATTGGCATTAATGGTATAAGATCATTATGATCTGTGTGTAATAATGATGTTGTAGTTTTATTGATTAATACTGATGATGATGATGAATCGATATTTTGTGGATGAACTGTCGTTGTAGTTGTAGTAGAAACTTTGGCAAATTCACAGCTTAAATAAGTACGTATAGTAAATGGACTAATAGAATCGATTAAATGAAATCCTTTAATTCGTTCTATCGGAATAAATGAAGAATAAGATTGTCGACCAGTAAAGTAACGATTTGATGTTTGTAAACCATATCCAGATATGAGTAAAAGAGATTCTAAAAAAAAGTAGAAAGAAATTAATCTACAGAATAATATTTCACGATACCGGCTATAGTTGGCATTTACAAACCTACATGTTCTTTCAGTAGCAAGTACATAGGTCTACTAAGCAAATCTACAAAAATCTTTGTCTGGTAGTGCAGTTGCTAACACCTGATAGAACATATATTGAACAAGAGGTTGATATTAGTCACGTATTCAACAAACAATCAACATCGCTTTTACTCCATTAGATAGAAGTGATCGTCAGTGTTTTAGATTTCACCTATATGTCCACAAGGAAAGCGCAGAGAGCCTTTCTCTGCTATAGTGACTGTAGTTGTTTGTAATCACAGGCTCCTTTTACATAATTTTATTGATAATATCAATATTGATCTGATTTTGGTTGCCATTACGTCGATCAATTACATAATCCTCCATTAATTTCATTACCATTGTAAGAGCCATTTATTTTATTATGATTATTAGTAACTGTAGCCTCGTCTTCTATAATTTGCACTATTATTTTTTTAGATATGTAAACATGCATTAATCTTAACTAAAGTTAATCACAGATTTTTACATCTGTTATTCTTATTATGATTTCTCGTTTCGTTTCCAAAAACCCATCTGAACTTCGCAAACTATATAATTTTAGGCTGATTGCAGTCTATAAGGTGGTCATGAAACAGAATTATTGTTTTCCTACTGATGAGTTCAAACTAAACACATGAACATTAGTACAAGGAGGGTACCTAAATATTTATGCGCCACACAACTCATTATATTTGAGAGTGGGCTGGGATACTGCCCGGGTCCCCAAACCGAAGATGGTTTTCTTAGGAAGCCACACCCCGAGCCTTTGACCCAAAAGTCTCATCTACAAAGTTAGGAGATACAGTCCAATCGTAGCCAGGGACCGAAGTGGGTTCATAGGCCATTCGTTTCCACATGATTCTGAAGACCATTTGCACAACTGGTTTGGAATCAGAGTTTTCCGATTCCCCTAGGTAGATCTTCGGTATCCACCAACTCAGTTAAAGCGCTAGACATTCGGTTTTCGTCCCCTCAACTTAGTAAGAAACACTAGCCACCAGAAGGTAGGAGTAGGACTTCCTTGGTAGTGGCTATACATGTGTAGACATATGAGAGCATTTCTAGAGAGTGTGAATTCTGCCTACCTTCAGCCGTATTTAGGGACGAACCTTGATTCCAGCACCTACGGTAGATTACCTTCAGTTGGCTGCAAAGTACATTGCAGTTTAACACCTGCTTAAAAGATTTCTTTATGAAACATAAGTAATTTACAAAAATTGCCAATTGCAACTTTATGACTGAAATTACTTACCTTCAATGACGGTATTACGTAAATGCATGTAAATGCAAATAACGACAGAGAAAAACAAAGTCAACTGGATAAAGTAAGACTGAAATTTAGAGCAAAAATGTATGAATTTGAATGATATTTTACTAGGAGAAAGTAAAGTCAAGAAATTTGATGAAAATAAAAGCATTTGTGAGGTGTGTAGAAAATTGAGATACTATGGTTGTCCACTGATTAGCAAACGCAACTGCATTTGTGGGAATATTTCAGTGATATAATTTCCGTAGCTAGTAACCTTCAAACAATGGGTTAGCAGTTTGTATTTAACTCAATTAGTCATTGTTTGAGAAACACGGCATTAATATTTACCTAAAATATGAACTTATGCATTACTCTACGATACGACTATAGTTTTGATATGACGAGTAAGAATTAGGCCAAACAGTTAACACTTGATTGATCAGTGAATAAGTGATGTATAAACTGATTTCATACAATCGCCTATGACATTTGTTTACGTTAACTTTTCTGTTAAGATTTTATACAAAGGTATTTCATTTTATTGAATAAAAAGCCTATTCTTCTGGTGAATGATCTTGTCACGAATCTCAGCTCGTTCAGGGGATTGCGTGTAAGCATCACTCGGCCACATCGTATCTTTACAAAATATCCATCGATACGCGTTCTACTCAATGATTTTAATAGTCGAAAGACCAGTCATCAAATCATGAAAACTATAAATTATGACCATACTTTCGCTATTAATGAACATTAACTTTTTATCGAGAATTTCTAAATGTATGATGAAGCTTAAATCTCCAGTAAACTGGATACAAGTAAGGTTATCTTAACCCAAGTAAACAATAGAGTAGTTTTTTAAAATATAGTCAGTGAATGTTGTCAGGTAATTTCAGCAAGTACAGAATCCCTGGGTAAGGCAAGTGTCATACTCGTGATTAATTGTGAGAGATATTAAGTTATATAACTCAAAATTAACTGCATTTTTGATCTCACTTGTTCCCTTTGAACCATCTTTATTATGTTTAGCTTTTTTTCAACTGAAATTATTACCCATCTTTTATTTTCAATCTTAATAATTTGCTTTTTGAAATGGGGAATAAGTGTAAATCAGATGCACGCTCTTGTTGTGTTCTCTGAATGCTAAGGATGACCATAGTGACAATGAATGCTTCTTAACTAAACAATCCATATCAGAGAATCTAACACAGTCAAAATGCTTTTCTCCGTGTTCTGGTGAGAGATGTTGAACTTAGAAAGTTATACACTGGTACCAGGTGTTATGTCCATAACAGATTCATATAAAAGCATTTATTTACACAAATACATAAAAAATTGCTTACCTGTATAACGAAACCAACTGAAAAACAAACTAGCATCCAAAGTACCGTAATGATGAACCAAAATGATAAACATATATTTCGACTGTGTTTGACTTCAATCCATGAAGGAACTGATTCTTGTGACGTCGACAATATTGGATCCTGATTTGTTTTTACAATTACTGGGTAAGAAGCCAGACAATTTATAAGACTACTTTTATTTGGAAATCGGTAAGTCAAGTCACAGCCACAAGGAAGACGGAACAACAAAGAAAGGTCATCGATAATCCTTTGGAAGGGAAAGGGTAATGAACCACAGGAAGAAACATGTGAATGAGTTGCAAATACGCAGTTGAACATAAAAGACCATTCAGAATAAGATTAATACTAGCTAAAAAAACATAAAATATGCCTATAGTATAGGATAACAGGAATTTCATCTACATGGAAGTTAACGAAATAATCGCAGAATGGCTAGCACGAAACAATCTACGATCACATTATCATAGCTTGTATCCTTCAACCTAAAGAAAATGAGTTATTACTAGTGTTTTGTCACTCAAATGATTCTTTATCTGTGATTCGATAAATTATATAACGACATAACTAATTAATTGATGCTGTTTTGTAACATGTAGTCGATTCAGTTTCAAATTCATCATTCGGAGCGACATATCAGTTGTTAAGTCTTTTGGCATTCAGTTAGTCATTAGACCCTTAATTTGAATCTAATCTCACCTAATTCGGTCTGGAAAATTGAGCACTATCATTAGGCCTCATATCAGAGCGCATTTCGTATCCTAGTACTTGGTTAACGGCTTAATCATTATTTTACGTAGCCATTGATAACTTAAAACCTGACTGATGTGCACGAAAGGTTTGTTGGATCTTTCATCTCACCATGATCCTTAGTTTAATCATTACTTGTCAATGTACATCCTTCTATTTCTTTCATTTATTAGCATTAATATTATAAAAGATGTTTTAATTTAGGATTCTTTATGATCATCGACGTTACACCCATATTTGAACTCGTCTATTAACGATGTGCTTACTGAGTTTATTGTTATATATTTCTTAATTTCTGTAATATATATTCATTCTGACTATTAATCATCAATCATCACTGTTATTAAGAATGTCTTTAAAACTAGGCGTTCGAAGGTTACTACTATTTGACTACAGATATCTTCGAAGCGATGCTCCCGTGTGTTGGAATCATTCAGTTAGGTACTAAGCAAAGATAGCAAGTTGGCTGAGAAAAAAATGAGTTGATGAGTGATGTAGTTAAAACGTGTATTACATACGCTCAAACACAGCCTACCTCAATGTTAGAGGCAGCCAGAAAGGTGGTATCGGCCCATATTCATTCAAGGTTAGTTATTGGCATCTTGACATGCAAAAACTACCTCGTTAGAGTTCAACTAATAATATTATTTGATTGTACTGTAGAATGTGGCAACAAGGACCTTGGCATGTGTCAGGTTCTACAATGCTTGTGAATAACTGAATGGGACTATGTCAAGTTTAAAGAAGTATTCACTCATTAATAACAGAGATCTAAATAGAATATTTCTAAAAACTGATTACAGTTATCCTTTTTTTAATCATAAAGGATTGTTCATAGTCTCAGAATCTTTTAATTTTTTGTCACTAGTTTTGTAACTATCCAAAAAACAGTAAAACATAAAATTAAGGATATAAGAAACCAATATTTAATTCTAACAAGATATGAAGTGATTAAAGCTGCTTTCTCATGATCAAATTGTGAATTACATCGTCTGATAACTAACTGTAGATTTTGGTCCGTTCGAAAATCATAACTGCGAAGATTAAGTTCCGTTGCAGAGCTTAATGCCCATTTACTTTGGATTGCAAAGATGAAATAGAATAAATTGAAACTTGATTATTGGTTGGACGAAAAATCTTTTAATAAGTAGATCTATACGCTCAAATTCAACTTTCATAATGATTTAGGAGTCATCCAAAATCGTCCACTTAAAACGCAGGAGATAAGCTGGTATGCAGCCATTGAGATTCATTGATCCATGACTTCAAAATATTTGCTCTAACATCATACCCATGAAACCAGTCATTTATAAACAAGTAAATGATGAATAGAACAATGATGGAAATAAGCAAACAATAGTGAAATGTACGGTGCTTTTAGTATAGGTGATTTGTAACTTAACACATTTTGGTAATAATGTTATAAGCACGACTTACATATTTTTACAGGGTAATTATATGCAAATACTATACGCTGTGGAAAAATATTCATTAGGGGGAGTTTTGTCAACAAACTTCCCACCTTTTGAAGTCTTATGGATCACTGAATCAAAGTTGCGTTAACAGGAAATTCTCTTTATATAATAATCTTCCATTATCAAAGATAAAGGATAAAAAATCTAATGTTTTATTTCAACTAGTAAAGTTTACTAATCATTGTAAACAATTCAAGTGGTGATAAATTCAAATCCTATAGGAATTAAAAAATATAAAACAGTTTTTTATTAAAATTATTGATTCTTGTTTTAGAATAAACAAGTACAGAAATACCAACGTGCTTGCATTTTCCACCATTTATATACTTTAAATGCCTATTGATTAAGAACACTCAGACATATTGGTCCTTACGAGTCACAAACAGAG